TTACAGTTTTAAACATTTTTTTTAATTTTTAATTTTTTTGTGCAGAGAGGGGCAAAGGGAGAGGGAGAGAGAATCTTAAGCAGGCTCCACGCCCAGCACAGAGCCTGACAGGGTGCTCAATCTCATGACCCTGAGATTGTGTCTTGAGCCGAAATCAAGAATTGGACGCTTAACCAGCTGAGCCGCCCAAGCGCCCCTAAACATGTTTTTAAAATCTTAATCCATTTATCAAGTTTTATACACCTCTGAGTAGTATACCATTAAGGGGACCTGTATGGTAGAGTAATAAAAATTTGGTATAAAAAGAAAAACAGGAATTTCTAGTTCATTAAAAAAGAGATATCAGAACACAAGAACTAGTTATTCAACATTTGATATAATCTCCAGCACTTAGAAACAAATTCAGATCGCCACTGCACTTAATAAGGTGCCTCACAAAGGTGGTGACTTCACACAGTAGGGTTTGGTTAAACTGCCCTCAAGCGTCTAGGTCACAGATAATAAAAGAAAAAAGCCAAATCATCAAGACATTTTTTATATCAAAGAAAGGATGAGGCTTGATTAAATGAGTTGCAAGCTTCTTAAAGAGCTTATCTCAGAAAAGGATGTGTCCTGATTGCATTATTATTAACTACATCCTTGTTATTTTCATAAGACACGGGAAAGATGTAAGAATTAAGTAACAATAGAACTGGAAGGACTGTTTATATTAGATATCAGGATTTCAATTCAAAATCTTTGCCCACTTGAAAGTATTGTTTTAAGACTGTTGAAAAAATGCTCTTACATTTTAAATTTAACGAATCCTCTGTGTTTTGTGTTTCTCGGTCACTCCACCCATCATTTTCTTTCTACCAGACAATAAATGGCTAGTAGGATAAAATGGCTTAGCTGTATTTTAAAACAGTTTCACAAAAAGAAAGATTTTAAGTGCCACGAGAATGGAAGAATGCCACAGTTGGGGGCTTTGTTCCTTCCAAAGCAGGTACTGATTGGAGGTGAAAATGGGATTCTGATCATGTTTCTATCCTATGAGAGGGACCTCAGCTACTTTCCAGTTCTAATGTCCAATGTCAGGAAGACAAAGCCACTGGTGGACAAAGAAAGGGATAGAGTTGCCTGGTAGTTCTCCACCATGACTGAAGACTGAAGTACTTACGGGGCAGTGAGGTAACCCTCCAAAAAGCCAGCCACAAACATGATGATCTCATTGCTCAGGGTCTGAGAACCATACCCCGCTCTGATCTCCAGGATGCCCCAGCCTGTGGTTTTCACAGAGTCATTGTAAAAGCCATAGGCGTCCCCATTCCTGTCCAGTACTTGTTTGACTTGCACTGTCTTTTCAGCAGGCATCCAGTACGCGGTTGCATAGTAGACTTCTGGAAGAAAAGAAGAAGCAATGATAATAGGATACTATTTAACTGATTTGCTGATGCATTTTTTTTCCCATGTAACCAACAATTGCAACACATTTGCTTTTAAAGAATTCCATTCTATTAGAAGTGGGAAATCTGCCACTATTATAATCGGGAAATCTGCCACTATACTTTGTCCTTGTTATTAAATGGGGAAAAACCAGAGCCTGATCAAGGGGGATAAGCTCAGAGCACAGTGAACTAGGTCAAAGGTAGGGGGAGGTAATTAGAGCATCACAGAGGTGGGTCTAAATGCTTCATCCTCAGAGATGGGATTCTGGGCAAAGCCAGAGCTGGAGCACTTGCCCAGCTCTTACTTCAACCAAGGATAGGGTTCATGTACCTGGTCTGTAACATTTTTGACCCCCAAGTCAGTTGGACCAAAGCATCCATATTCTCAGGCATCTTATCCTATCTCTCTTGCCTCATTCTTCACACATGACATTATATTCCTATTTTGCAGAAAAAAACTATCACCTGTGAACCTCTCAAGTTCTTGATAATTTTGTGAATTCGTCCTTACAAATCCTATAGCCATCTCTCCTATTGTCACAGGAACTGCTGAGAGCATTTGACCCTGATGACCACTTGTTCTTAAAGCTCTTTCCATGGCTCCACATGAATCTCCTGAATCTCCTCCTCTGCCTGCTTTCTTTCTCATTGTCCCCATGGGTTCCTCTTTATCTTGTACACCCAACAGCACACTTGATAACACCACTTGGATGATTCCATAAGCCAAAGAAATTCCAAATACCCAAAAGAGAACTCCTATTCTCTCCCACCCATCCTCCACCTTCTGCTTTCTATCTCTGTGATCTTTCCACCTGAGACCCAAGCCCATCCAGGCTCCCTCTCTCTCCTGCAAACTCATGTTGAATCAAAGCCTCCTAAGCATCTCTCCTCCAGTCTCTACCTCTGTAGTTCTACCTTTCTATGCCACTTCCGGTATCACAACTAACCTTAACTGTAATACAGGCCTTTTTCAAGGTTCCTTTGACCTGTAATTCATTCTTCATACTCTGCCAGAGTGACCTTCCTAAAATGCAAAACTGATTTGTTTACTTGCCTACCAAAATCTTCAATGACTTCAATTTCCTAGAAATAAAATTCTTCAGCTTACACTCTTGGCTTCATGATCTGCTTTCTGCCTACCCCATGCAGCTTCATCCACCTCCCCATGCACTTGGTGATCTGGAAGCCATTCTATACCACTGTCCGACCTGCCATGAGCTGGTTCGACACCTCTGACTTTGCATATGCTATTTCCTCTGCCCAAGAGTTTCTCTCTTGTTAACCACGTAGCTATCTCAAAATTGCTACTTAAAACTCAGGAAGCAGCACCCAATTTGTGAGGGTTGACTCGCTCTACAAGCTCAATGTAACTTGCTTGTAGGTACATCTTCTTTGGGCCTATCACATTGTACTGTAACTCCCATGTCTTCAGCTGCTCCTAGCCTATGAGCTCCTGGAGGCCAAAGAATCAGCATTAGTATAGTGCCTAGCCTGTCACAGATACTCAGTGAGTATCTTAGGAAGATTTAGGAAGAAAGAGAGAGAAAAAAGGAAAAAAGAAATGGAGAAAGGAAGTGGTATGTGATACATTTGTTTCTTGGCCTAAGAAACTACTGCACACCTGCTCGGGTTAAAGACCAACTTTACATTCAGGTCATCAAAGAGCTGGGAAGAGGCCAGAATGACTCTCAGGTTCTAGACTGAGACTCAGTGGATGGATGTTGTATCATTTACTGAGAGAGGGAGCAGATGGGGTATAGGTCTGGGAGGGAATAGGAGTTTAATTTGGGACATACTCTATTTTCAGTGGTTAAGATACCAAAAAGTTCAGATAAAATGTTTATATATGGTTATCTGTTGTCAACATTAAAAATAGACCAACATTTTATTTTATTTTATTATTATTTTTTAAGATTTTATTTATTTATTTGACAGAGAGAGACACAGCGAGAGAGGGAACACAAGCAGGGGGAGTGGGAGAGGGAGAAGCTAGCTTCCTGCCGAGCAGGGAGCCCGATGTGGGGCTCGATCCCAGGACCCTGGGATCATGACCTGAGCCAAAGGCAGACGCTTAACGACTGAGCCACCCAGGCGCCCCTATTTTATTTTATTTTAGATGCAAAGATTGTCTATCAAATAAGTGCTAAAGGTATAATCTTAATACTAGAGTATCATAGCACCTTGTCCCAAGGGGGCTGGGTGATTAGCTGGGATTTGGTCAGGCTTAGAAGCTAAAGCTGATTATGACTCTTAAAGAATGATCCTGAGCAGGAAGGTCCATTTACTTCCGAGCAAAGTCATGACCATAATGGTGGGCTTTCTTTAAAAATGGCTAAATGGAAATAATGATGTTCATAAACAGAGGTAGGTTCACAATACTTTAACAGACTTCTGGTGACAAATAATAGTCTAATTGTTAATAAAGCCAGTGGCCACAATTTGACAACTGTGGGTAGCATCCACAGAAACGACCCTTCTTCCAAATTGATTTTGGATCACAGTGGCATAGCCTCAGCCTTTCCCCAGCTTTTTGCACACATTCTCTTCCACCTCACCCACAGTGAGTCTTGTAGGGAAGAAGAAAGCATGGCTGACTAGAAACCATAGTAGCTGCAAACTGCTGCAACAAGGTGTGGGGGCAGGGTCATGAACAGAAACTGTGGAGGGAAGAAGGATGCTGAACAGCCTTGTCGGGCTCTTTCCTTTCAGTTCTACCCACATGGCACGATTTTAGCTTTGTTCCCTTCTCCAAAATCTTGGCATTTCTCATTGAACACCATGGCCTTCCCTAACTTCACCTTCCCTTCCAACGGCCCCCTTTGCCACAAACCTTGGCTTGCTCTCCATCCAAGCAATCAAGGGCTGTGTTTTCACTGTTGTTGGCACTACATAACTTCCTGACCACAAATAATACTCTTCCGCAAATCGGTGCTTTTTTGACATCAGTGTGCCTCCAGGAGTTAAAAAAAAAAAAAAAAAAAGCCCTTTTCCTTTTCCCTTAAGATAATCCAATGATAAAAATTTACTGCTAACAAACTGACCGATTTAGCAAGTGCTTTCTGAATTAAGCCAAAATCTGAGTTTCTTACTCCATCCCTAACTGAGGTCCTGCCTCCCTCAATGTTTTCTCCATGCATCGACTCCTTCTGGATTTCCTGGTACCATACTACTTTCTGATTTTCTTAAATCTTTTAATAGTTTAAGCCACTTCACTTTTCTATTTAAAAAAAAAAAAAACCTCCTTATCGGGAAGCAGATGTTGTAGAAAGCTTAACTGCAAAAAGGTAGAACAAGATCACATACTTCAAATCCCACTCTAGCTTTATATACACTCTGTGAAGGCAGAGCCGGGTCCTGCTTACTGCTGTATATCCCGGGAGTGCAGTACCCGGCACAGTACTGTTTCTGGGATGAGTCTAGTTTAATTGAGTGTGTTCTAATGAAAGTGAAGTTTATCAGAACATTCACAGAAGTTGATCTAAAATAATTCAAGTCATTATATCTTCAAGCTCAGGGAAGGGGCTGAGGGGATGGGTCAGATGCCCAATGGGCAAAATGCCATGTCCCCCTAGACCTGTGAAAAGGGAAATAAGATTTAAAAATATTTAACAGCAACATCTTCAAAATCAACACACTTGATAGATATCTGTTGAATGAATGGGAACGTTACTTTATAAAAACAGAGTATTTTTCTTGTGTAGACAAAGATGGAAGAAGCCTCCTCATTGTTATATTTCTCTCGACATAAAAACCCAAACACCCGAATTAAATTTATTTACTTGTGTATTCCAATATTTTCTCTGAATTGTTTTTAGTTGGGAAAAAAAAAAAATCCTAACCCTGTCTTAGAATTTGTAAAATAGTCGTAAGTGGTCTAAATCACTGTCTCCCATATCTGGAGCCTATTTTTCCGGGCACTTTATTCATGATAGAGTAAATGATTTTTAACCTGGAGCAATGTAATTTTACCTAATATATTCAGTAAGTTAGATAGAGAAAAAGAGGAAGAAACCTGAGAGGGCAGACACAGAATATGTGAGAGAAAATATTTTAAAAATTAAGACTGCAACTTAATCTATTCAGATTGAGTTTAGCTGACACTTCTCTGATCTTTTTTTTTTAAGATTTTATTTATTTATTTGACAGAGAGAGAAAGAGAGAGCGCACAAGCATGGGGAGCGGAAGGCAGAGGGAGAGGGAAAAGCAGGCTCCCCGCTGAGCAAGGAGCTTGATCCCAGGACCCCGGGATCATGACCTGAGCCGAAGGCAGTCGCTTAGCCAACTGAGCCACCCAGGCGCCCCTGCATTTCTCTTTTATGTCCACCGAACACAATGTCTCCGTATCTCTCAGTGTACCTTGGCGTTCCACTTCCTTCTTGGAAAGGGCTTGGTAAATTGATATCTGGTTTTTGGATTTGCTTTGACTCTTCAGCAGAGTCACTAAGAAAATAACTGAATCATGATAAACAACCTCCAGGCAGCAACATTCTAAGGGTTTCAGTTCTCACTCCCAGCAGAAATCAGAGCCTAGGACTCTTGCTGAAAGGGGTATTATTCTGGGAACAGGGATGGGAGGTGGGGAAAGTGAAACAGGGAAGGAGGGAAAGCTAATTCAAAGGTGCAATCTGAGATGGCCCACACTGCGGATAAGCCCTTGAGGACCCCATCCCAGGGATGGAAGAAGGAGCATTTAACTACCTGCATCCATCCTGCGTTGGTCAAAAGTTGCCCTATGAGGGGTTAAAATCCCTCTTCCCAGGTTGGCAGGTGCTCCGGTGTGAAATGGTTATGAAATGGTTATGATGCGGGAGAAGCTTGAGGTAGAAAGCAAGGCATCCCTGCAGGGTGGCTAGGGTGAAGGCCCTCACATTACAGACGCTAAAGCTCACATAGACAGCAGTGAGAGGATGTGAGGTGGGAGGCAGACTGTGGCCAATATATTAGG